AACTGGAAAGTCTAAATGTCTGATTATTGTGACCCTTTACTGAGTTATTTATAATGATTCATGTGTGGGCATATTTCATTTTTACAAAACAATAGTGCACACTATGAACCATTCATTAAAGTCATCATTCATCTTCCTACTATTTTACAAAAATAAAATGCAACGACATATTTAAGAAAACAAATCATAATACTTGTAGATGATTCAGTAAATTGTAATCTGTTATTATTGTAGCCATGGTACTCATCATCAGAGAAACACATTAATTGACTGAGTCATACAATTTGTATGTGATATGAAGGAGTTTGTTTTATATTGTTTTCCCTCAAAGGAAAAGTTGACCAATAAGCAGTGGATAAATGATTACTGGTGTTCTAGGCAGCTCTACTGAGGTTTTTACTTCTAAAATTCAGGTATAGTTTTACAAATTCAACTGAAAAATACAGACTATGCATATAAATTATAAAAATAAGCAACATCTACAATCTCGCCAAGGAATAGAAGCAATTGGATAATTCTACTTCTTTACAGTACATATTTATTTGTTTTGATTAATGATGTTACTAAAAAGCAGAAAATCTCTCCCCTCTGCACTATTTATTTTAACTAGTCAAATGACAATTTTTTTTCCTCCATTAAGACATCTGTGCACCCTGTTCCCTATCAGAAGCTGAATGACAGATTGGAACATAAGGGATTGGAAGGATTATCTTTTTCAAAAAAGTTGTATAGAAAATAGTCAAACCAACCAACCTAAAACATACTAACTGACATCAAGGTGATGCCCCCTCATAATGATAGGGCAGAGACTGTGTGACCAAGGTTTAAGTCTGTCTGGGAATAGAGTACCACCTCTTTCTCCTGTGGAGAGGTGGGTGGTTTCAAACGGCTAACCTTGCAGTTAGCAGCCCAACGTGTAACCACTACACCTGCAGGCCTCCTCCCTATCACACCAAAGACACACATCACTAGGAGAAATGAAAATTTCAAAATCAATGGGAAAATATTTCCTTTCTTTACATTTCATTTATGGCATAAAATTATATAACTATATCTAATTTGAAAAGATATCAAAATGTGAATAGACATTTTGTTAAATTCCCCATTTTTACTCCTTCTTCTCTTCTGTACTTAAAGTACAGAACTTTAAGTAGAGTAAAGCAGAGTACTTAAAGATGGTAGAGTACTTAAAGATGGAAAATCAAGAGGTAATAGAAAATTGGCAAGCAGTAAAGTTTCACTGAAAATCAGATCCCACACATACACATTTCACATGAGGAATCTCAGAAAAAGGCATCCTAATCTATGGAGACGAATTGAGCGACAAATCGTATAGATTCTAAAATTTGACTAACCAAAACCCAAACTGCAAGGTGTTTCCCACATTGTTATGCTGACCTAAAAAGACATACCCCATCACTGGAATTTGTAAGAGCAATAAACTGAAATAGCTTTTCTGTGCAGGAAGAAGCCTATCAATTCCACATGATGAACTCCATACCTGTAGTACTCTACTTTTTTCTAGTAGTATCCAATACAGAAAGTGTCTGAAAGTGATCTGTGGACTTCCTTGTGTTAGCATCATAATTTAAATGCACTGTATTGAGTGCTATGCTAGAAGTTTAGATACTATTTATTTTTTATTATGAACCTGTACATTAGATCCTATTAAACGTATTGTACCAGTGAAACAGATGGAGGAGTGGGTGATTATATTATATATCTATGTTGGAAGAAGTACAGCCAAACTGCTCCTCGGAGGCAAGGAGGTGAGACTTCATCTCATATACTGTGGAGTTGTCATCAGGAGAGACCAGTGCCTGGCAAGGACATCATGCTTGGTACAGTGGAGGGGCAGCAAAAACATAGGAAGGCTCTAAACAATGTGTGGATTGACACACACTGGAAGCAACAACGAAGTCACACATAGAAACAATTTTAAGAATGGTGCAGGACGAAGTGTTTTGTTCTGTTGTACTTAGGGTCACTGTGACCTGGAACCACCGCAAGGGCTCCTAACCATGACAACAACAACATGTTTACACCCGCAACAAATTATATACTCAATTCGCACTTATCACCCAAGTTCATATGAAAAAGACAGTGCTTTATGAAAATGAAGGATGGGCACAGCAGATCACAAAAGGGAAGATTGCTACATCATTACATAACTGGTAAATCACCGAGAATCCTGGCCCAGTCAAGCTGACCAGTAAACTTCACCGTCAAAGCCCAAGGCACCCTCATTTCCCCCAGCATTCATCCTGCCGGATTGACTTTGTTAAGGCAAAAGTAGTCGGAGAGCAGGTTTTCCACTACTATCATGAATGCGAAGTTTGTGATAATGAAATAGTAGATAAGTGAGGGATAGGCCAGGGTTCAATCCAGCTTGCAGGTTACAAAGCCAGAATTCTGGGCCCTAATGCTATTTTAGTGCTGAAATAACAATTACTATTATACAATTACATATTTAGTATCTGTAGATATTCAACGAATTTCTGTTTAAATAAATAATGAATATGATTGAATACTAAATATTTTTGAAGACAAATCATAGTGAAAACAGAATTTGCATATAACAGATCTACCCATAACCCTTTCTGAATGTAATGGTAGGCATTATTGGAAGAATCCCAAGAGTTAAACACTTCCCTGATAACAAAAATGTTGGCAGTTCAAACCCACTAGTTGCTCTCAGAAGAAGCTGGCTATTTGCTTCTGTAAAAATTATAGTCAAGAAAACCATATGGGCCGTTCTGCACAGGCACGGAGGTAACTGTGAGTTAAAAAGAACGCCAAGTCACCCATAACACTAACGGATAACTTATTCTCTAGGAATTTCATGTTGGAGTATGCCTTTAATTTTATGTATTGCCTTTGAGAAAAAAACAATCAGCGCGCGCGCGCACGCGCGCACACACACACACACACACACACACACACACACACAGAGCCCCAACAACCTCACAAACTGTTTGACGGCCCACTGCCACTGAGGTGATGGCAGCTCATCGCAACACTGTTGCCTGCAAGGTGTCTGAGGCCGTGACTCATTAGGGGACTAGGACAGCCACATCGTTCTCACCAGGAGGAACATGGAGATTTGAACCTCTGACCATGTGGTTAGAAGTCCAGTGCTTATCCAACAGTGCTAGTAGGTCTTGTGAAGTGTTTGACAAGTCAGAGTGTTTTCAAGCAGTTCTATTTCTTTATGAGAAGGAAGCCTGATAGAACAGTGATTAAGGTCGGTGCTTTGATCTCACCAACATCTTTGCAGGGTAAAGACGCGGCAGTCTGTTTTTGTAAAGATTTGCTGTCCTGGAACCCAGAGGGGACAGTTCTGTGCTGTCCTGTAGAGTTTCTGAGTCTGTATTTCCTTTTACTCATATTCATACTTTGAACTATTTAATCTGATCTTCTGTAAATTGGGGGTATAAAAATGTCTAGTATTAACATTAAAATCTTAATTGAGCACACTTTATTGGGATTGAATTAATTCACTTGCAAATAAGAATTGTACTTTTTATAAAGATGATCTCTCTAAGTACGCAGGAAATGTTAAACATTCTCAGTGGGGGGGACATTTTGTATTTATTTGTATTTATACAAAGCCCTTCATAATTTTTAAAAAGTCTTCATTCTACTCTTTGCTTAACAGCATCCACTTAGTGTCCTGGATTTATCTCATGTTCTGTTTCCTCTTGAGAATTCAAGGCCATAGGAAATACTGTCAATTCATTTATGAAAACAGTACTCATAGATGACAAATGTTTAGTTGTTTTTACCTCATTAATAATGATCCAGTGACAGTCAAAAGCAACCAAATTAGTCTCCACGACCTAGAACAGAAAACAAACCAGTCAGCGTTAATCATGAAATAGAAACCAAATTAATGGATATGAGTTACAAATAGCCAAAACAGTATCAGATATTAGAAAGGCCCTTGTTATTTACTTGAAGACGGAAAATCATTAGCAATATTCTGTAGGAACAATTTTGCTTTCATTTGACTTGCTAATTAAGTTTGAAAGTATATTTCATGAAAGTCCTAGAGAAACATAGGTGGCAACCAAGAAATAAAATACAACTAATCCTGTATTGTGCCTTAGATTCTGAAGAATTTCCTATTTCACATGTGAAACTATCTACATAGTTAATGTCTAAGAACATATGAATCTATACTTCTGCATTCATTTGACATAATCTTCTGTAGAATATGCTTGCTACTCTTAGCAAAGTAAATAGCTCTTGCTATTCCCTTGACAAAATGAATAGCTCTGTATTCTTCTGACAAACCATGCCAGTTACCTCCTAAGGAACTCTAACTTTAAAATTACTTGGCTATAAAGAAAAGAGCAATTGACTTTATAGCAGCCTTGAGGTATGAGTGGAAATTTTTAGTAGCTTTTAGATGGATAATTACATGAAAGAAAAATAAACAATGCATGCATAAATAAATTTAGCTAATTACTTTGGATTCATTTATTCTATTTAAGTTTTGATTCCTTCTGTAGGTCACAAATATAAATCCCATCTGTGTGTGTGTGTGTAATGTTTGTGTGTATGTGTGTGTGTAAAGAATTTTTTTAAAACAAAGTTTGCCATTCTATAAATTAAATCATATTACTTTTGAACATGTTCTTACTATTCATGAATGTGATTGGGGCTGCTATATAAGAGATTATTCTGTGAGCAATAATATGTGCATATTGTGTTTGAAATGAAGATGGTTTCTAACCACTAGTGAACAATTTTAGAAAATCAATTGAATTTTGGTGGCTATTTTTTGTTTTACTGAGAAATATCTACTGTAAAGGTATTGATCAAAAGAAAATACAATATGTCATGTGATATAATGCTTTGTCAAAGTACATAATTACCTGTGGAAATTTTGGTATAAACTTCACATATTTTAAAATGCATACCTTACTTTGCCCTATAAACTTACTGAAGTATATAGATGCTAAATTATCATATCACTGAGGATATGTTATCTACATATAAATGATGATTATATCATTTTTAAAAATGCACACATTTTCTACTTCTTGGTGAAACATAATGTATAAAATGTGACATCGCTAGTTTTAATTATCATTAAAAATAGAATATTGGACTGATAAGCAATATAGAAGTCCACATTTTTAATTTTCTGTCTTTTTCATTAATTATCTTAGAGACAAAACATCAGTGGTTCATTAAAAATTAAATATTTCAGAAAATTGGTGGAAAGTATATAAGCTTTTAAACGAATGTATGTAGGAAACTTGAACATCTACAAAGGCAAGGTACCTAGATGACCTGGAGAAAAATATACAATAGTTGGGGGAAGAAGGAACTAAGCTACATAAGTGATATTAAGAGGACAGAGAAATAAAAAAAAAATAATACATGAAGATAAAAAGTACTTCCGAATGAATATTAGCACTAAATAGAAGGTACAATCTACAGCCATAACACACTGAACTCACAAAATATCATCTACAGCGATGGAATAATTTAGCTTACGTTGCCGGCTTATTGAGCTACTCTATTCCATATAACAAGTGTCACTATGCAAGTGCTAAGAGGACTCAACATTACCTGTAGAGCTTGAAGTGAGGAGAGTTTTATTTTGTGCCACAACGATGCAAAGTTAAACAGATATAATGATGACTTATTGATGGTGTGACCATGGCAGAAACCTTGCTCATCCATCACATTGTCTTAAAACTAAACTGCCTAGAAAAAACTATGAACTCTCATCAAGGCACTGGTATCCACATTGTGTAAAGTAAATAGGAAAGAAAAATAGCTCAACTAACACTATGATTCTATTCACGACACCAGCCTTGCTTCTTGAGCACCAGCGGGCCTCATTCTTATTCTTGGGTATAGTTGTGGGTTAAAACATTGCCAGTTTATCAATATGATTTTGAAATAAGCAAAACTTTATTGTTGTTATTGTTGTTAGGTTTGATCCAGTTGGCTCCAACCATAGTATGCAAAACCGAACAAACCACTGCACGGGCCTGCACGCTGCTGACAACTGTTCCTATGCCTGTGCAACCAGAGTCCGTCCATTTCATTGAGAGCCTTCCTCTTCTGCCCGCCCCTCCCATGTACCAAACATGACGTCCTTCTCCAGCGACTGGTCTCCCCTGACAAGATGTCCACAGTCTGTTAAACGAAGCCCTTGCCTCTAAGGAGCACGCTGGCCTTACTTCTTCCAATGCAGCTTTATCCTGAGCTTACATGTGAGCAACGATGGGCTTTTCCAGGGTCTTCCCCGACTTTGGTTTTAACTGCTGACATTGAGCGTCTCCACTGTGTCTTCCTACAGATGCAGTCAATTTGATCTCTGTGATGTGCGTTGTTGAACTAAAGTATTTGCTCTGAACAAGTCATGCTTTAAAAAGTTCTATCATGGGATCTCCAGCTTCATTTCTATCACCAAGTCCATATTTTCCAACTAGTATTCCTTCTTCTTTGCCTCCAACTTTTCCTCTTTGTTTCCAACATTTTTCCTAGTTTAGAATATGATGAAAAATAGTGTATTTGTTTGCTTATAATAAAAATGTGTTGAATTAGAAAATATTTCAATGTCTTTGTTAGCCTTAAATACTTGAAGTTTAAATATTTGTCTTTTATTAAAGCTATTTTTATTCTTAGCAGACAAATATTAAAAATAACTCTCATCATACACTAAACCAGGACATGTTCACTGTGAGTGGATACCAGGTATCTTTGAATCAGGTGTATGATTAAGAAAAAATGTGTCTAGCCTGATATCTCAATGTGTGTTTTTTTAAAACATAAGGCTAATTAATATTCTCTATGATGCTGTGTTTTCTTCCACATTATTTATTTCACTCTATCACAAACCTTTTAATCTGATCCCTTGCAGTACTATTGGACGTGCAAGGACGGCACAATCTAGTTCTTCTGATGATCAGCATGTTGGAGATTATTGTTCATGTGGTTCCTTGTATCCACTGGCATAATTGTTGACATGTGGTTCCAATTGTCACCACTGTTTTCTTCTCTTTTAGCAAAGTGGTTAAGCATTGGGCTGTGATCTGAAAAGCCAGCATTTCAAAGCCTCCAGCCAACTCAGCAGGAGAAAGATGTAGCTATCTACACCTCTAAATAGGTACGATCTCAGGTACTTACAGGGGCAATTCTACCTCATCCTTCAGGGTCGCTAGGAGCCTGTATCAGCTTGATGAGATGAAAGTGAGTTTGTTTTTATCGTTTTGTTTTCTTGCTTGCAGGAAAGCAGAGACGAATAGTTATAGTGGAGATAGCCATGGACATTCATCTGAGTAATTTTTAATTCAGTGGCTTTATAAAAGTATGATTTCAAAGTGCTAAGGTTTTTGTTGGCCTTTTTTAGGTCATGAATCTTGAAAGCCTTCATTTATTATTCCAATTATTTTCGAGTCTTGGAAAAATAACTATATCAGTAAAGTATTTAAGAATTAAAAGATAATTATGTTTCATAGTTTTAATAAAACTATTTGTATACAATTAAAATCTGCATAGTACTGTGACACTATGTAATAAAGAAACTCAAAACTTTTTACTGTAATGTACTCAGAGAGGTAATTTTTCCATTCATTTTCTGAGAAATGACTCTTTATATAAAGGATGGGAATTTTCTTAGGTCTGGATTATCTTCATGTATAATCAATGATCTGGCATGAGTTATCTGAGATTTTATAATTGAATATTGCTTACAGTGAGCTGTATGGGAAAGTCATTAATTAAAAGTAGATGTGAGAAGGTAGGAAGAACATTTAGTAAGGGATAATGTGTGTGTGTGCGTGCGCGTGCGTGTGTGTGCTTGTGCGTGTGTGTGTTTCTTTTCTGAGGTTTAAAGGAGTCAGCTCTGACTCTTAGTGACCCGCTCTACCACATACTGAAACAGAGTCATCCTCGCCGTTGTTCGAGCCCATTGTTGCAGTCACTGTGTAAATCTATCTTGTTTGATTTACTTATTTAGTAACTATGGTGACCTTGTAAAACGGGGGGTGATCTCTCTTGATAACATCACAAAAGTTCACACTTACAGGAAGTATATATGTGCGTGTGTGTGTGTGTTTGTGTGTGTGTGAGAGAGAGAGTGTATATGTGTGTGTATATGTATATCCAATAACACAACCCTTGGAAACCCAGTAAGCTTTGTGTTATTTTACTTAATGATTAACATAGGTAGACTTGGTATCTTCTCAATTTATTTATCTATATTACATACATATTTATGCAATTAGAAGACTTACAATTTATAATAGATTTAGAAGAGAAAAAAGAGGTGATAATGCTGTTTATGATTCTCATATATTATCAAACTAAACTAAACTCCTTGTGCTGCTACCACAGAGCCGCAGTTTAACCTCACCAGCAGCTCTACCGTGGCCTGGTGTCCTCTTCCCATGGAGATTTATGACCTAAGACACTGTGTGAAGTGAGTGGCAATAGTAACACGAATGTTTTAATAGCTTCTGGATAAAGGATTAAGAAGAGACTGAAACCTATTAAAAAAATCTATGTGGATGTGTTTGTGAGTGATTTAGGGAAAGGCTGAGAGCGCAGATCATCAGTTTCATGTTCAACAGTTTATACACATTTTATTTGAACTCATCCATCTGACTCTCCTCAATGGACCCAAGTTTATCCCTCTTCTCCCAGTGTTTCTTGTTTGCATTCCTTCTTTCCTAACCTTCTTCCCTTTAGATGGGAAACAGTTGCTTATTTTTGCAT